GGTCCAATGTTGCCCCTGCTTTTCCTCCGGCTCCCCACATATCTGAAAAAGGACTTTTTATTGTCCTTGATGCTCGAAGCTAGTTGGAGTTCAGTTGCAGCCTTGGCTTTCCTGGTATGCTCCCTGCATGACCGGACCGGTGCAGAATAATCCTCCTTGGAGGTGACTTTGAAAACTCATGGCTATCAAGAGAGGTCCCAGATGATCGGAAAAGGGCAAACAGTGCCCATATTTAAGAAAGGGAAAAAAGAGGATCCAGGGAACTACGAACAGGTCAGCCTCACCTCAGTCCCTGGAAAAATCATAGAGCAGATCCTTAAGAAAGTCATTTCTAAGCACTTGGTAGAGAAAAAGGTGATTAGGAACAGTCAGCTTAGATTTACTAGGGGCAAGTCATGCCTGAGCAACCTGATTGCCTTCTATGACAAGGTGACAGGCTCTGTGGATACGGGGAGACCAGTGGATGTGGTGTACCCTGATTTTAGCAAGGCTTTTTTGATATGGTCTCCCACAACATTCTCCCAAGCAAGCTAAGGAAGTATGGGCTGGATGAACGGACTGCAAGGTAGATAAAATTTAGCTGGAGCACTGGGCTCAGAGAGTACTAAATCAATGACTTGAGGTCTAGTTGGCAGCCGGTATCAAGGGGAGTGCCCCAGGGGTTGGTTCTGGGGCTGGTTTAATTCAATGTCTTAATCAATGATCTGGAAGATGGCACAGTGCACCCACAGCAAATTTGCAGATGACATCAAGCTGGAGGTAGTAGTAGATACACTGGTGTGTAGAGCTAGGATTCAGAGTAACCTACACAAATTGGAGAATTGGGCCAAAGGAATCTCATGAGGTTCAACAAGGACAAGTGCAAAGTTCTGCACTTTTGGCTGGGACGATCTAGTTGGGGATAGTCCTGCTTGGAGCAGGGGGTTCGACTAGATGACCTCCTGAGGTTCCTTCCAACTCTAACTTTTCATGATTCTATGGGGCAAAGATTAATTTTAAGTGTCAGTAATAGCTTTAGTATGAGTGAAACTACAGATTTTATGACAGAATAACCTTTTACTAAGGTATATTACCTTTTCATTTGCTGCTTCAATTTGTCTTTGATTTTCACTTGCCAGTCGTGCTAGTTCTGCTTGATGAACTGCTAGTGTTGATTCAAGCTGCCTTCTAAAGGCATCATCCATTGAACGAAGCTTTTCCATTGCAACTCTAAAAAAAAAAAAAAAGAGACTCATTTTTAAGAGAGTCAGAATATATATTACCATTATTTTTAAATGTGCATATAACTTTCTATCACGCCCTTAATAACAGGAATCTAGAGAAAAAAATTAGTTTTAATTCTTAGCTTCAGAAGATATGTTCTGAATTTCTGGTAACACCAACATTGCCCTAGTTCGCACATTTAATCACTGATTAAAGCAATAGGTTTCATGCTTACCTGTGCTAAGGCAGCTAACCCTTAGTGCTTTCAACCATCTGCTTTTACTGAAAGAACTATGTTAGTTGTCCATACTTGACCCAATGATCCTTGGTGATCCCTCCCAACAGCTAACCTTATAGTAGATCCTTATTCTTTGTGGACATTGTCATTCCCAAGATCTCTCTGTATAAAATTAGAATGTGCAACTACAGACAGTGAGAAGCCTTATTTTAGGCACTTTACACATGTCCACTGCAAACTTACAATGCTGGAGGTCTGCAACCTCAAACAGGCTATACTGTTCAGTATTGCTTACCTCCTAAACTTATTTCATTTCCTTGCATGTACTAGGCATTAAGAGGCAACTTGAATGCTGACAACCTTAATTATATTGAAACAATGCAAGAATACACAGATGCACACTCATTCTAAACTTGCAACAAATTTGTGCCAAGTGGACTTCCTATACCTATAAAGTGTATGCCCCTTTATTTAATTTCAATGGGCATTTTTATATATGCTCTGGGATGCAGTGTGGGCACTTTAATTAGTGAGCTGTGCTAATTAAAAGTGTCCATGAGTCACATGCATCAGTGTCCCCAAACTGGAAAAAATGGTGGCAGGGAGCTTTGAACTAAAAAGCTCATTGAACATGCTTTATTTCAAAGTGCCCTGTTGCCATTTTTTCAGCATGCTGAGCCATGTGGCATGGAAGGCTGCTGGATCGTGTCAGTTTCCATGCTCCAGTGGACTCAATTAATCAAGTCTGCTCCAATGTGCTGGATTTCCAGTACATCGGAGCAGGTTCTATAGGAGCCTGTTCAGATCTATAGGAGCCCAATGTGACAAGAGAGATATAGGGTCTTCAATATAGACTCCGGTGTAAGAGCACTGTGACTATTGGTAAGGAAACTTAAAATCTTCAAATAAACAGAAAATTCAGTTAAAAGTTGAGGGACAGATAATACAGACTTCTTTCATAAAAGTAGGCCATTCTTCCATGAATAAGAACTAATTGTGCACCTAAATATTTGTAATATTGGGCCCAGAGAAAGTACCTAGAATATCATTAGGTACTGTGTAACCAGAATTTTTGCAGTCTTATATGGTGGAATATGAATCAATTTAGCAAACCCACAAAAACAACAACTAATGATCTGTTTGTACTTCTGAGTCTGAAGACTTTTGTTTCTCTCTTCAATCAGCTTCTTTTCCTTGATATCAAAGTTTTCTTTCATTTGTTTTACTTGCATCTCCAGCTGGCTTAATAATTCTCCTTTGTCTTGCCACTTCTTATTCATTGTGCTGAAAGTAAAATGTACATAGTAAGAGTGAGTACAGATTCCCCTACTGTACCTCTCTCTCTAAACAAATGGGGGTATAATACTTCTATTTTGCCTACACTTTTCCCAATTTTAAATTATAAACTAACCGAGTACTCCTCCCCAACCAGTAAGAAGCCTTACATTTAAGGGTGCACTGATACAGATTTTTTGGGCCGATACCCACGGCTGATTTTAACAAGCCAAATTGGCCAATACTGATCTGACTGCAAATATGCAGCTGGGCAGCTTGGAAAGGAGCATTCGGTTGGTAAGTCTGTTGTGGGGCAAAGGGAGAGGAAAGGGGCGTGAGGGGCAGACTGAGGCCTCCACGGTCAGGGAGTGGGGCTGGGGCAGGCGCTGCACAGCCAGGGTGGAAATCCAGGGGCATGTGGCCCCCATGCCCTCCTGGGATGTGTACAGCAATGGGAGCCGCCACTCCCTCCGTGCCCCGCAGACAGACAAGCTGCTCATGGCTCTGTCCTGCGTCCCACCCTGGCTGTGCAGTGCCTGCTCCTGCCCCAGCCCCATTCCATCCCTCACCACTGGGGCCTCAAACTGCCCCTCCCCATGCCCTTTCCCACACAACAGACTTACCAGCTGGACCCAGCTGTTGCCATGGTGCTGGGCTGTGCTCCTGACTGCCTGTGTGCTGCACTGCGGCTGTGCGCGCATTTATTGGTGAGATTATCAGCCACATCAGTCAAAAAAAAGCTGATTGATGATACTGGCAATTTTCCTTATATCGGTGCCAATCTGATATGGGACCGATGTATCGGTGCACTTCTACTTACATTAATTTTTAATATATTGCACAATATTTCATTACATTCTTAATTCCATACAGCACCTGTACATTTTCCTAACATCTTCAAGTTCTACTTCTTTTTCTTCCAGAAGTTGCTTTAATTCCTCTTTTCTTTCATTTTGCCTATCTAATTTTTCCAGTAGCTCTTCCAATTGTGCAGCTCTTTCATCCAATTGTACCTGAAAAGTCTTTTGGATTTCAGCATTTTCCTGACGCTGTGTTCTGATCTGTTCATCTCTTTCCTGCAAACGCTTTAAAGATTTAAAGACAATACATATTTATTTTTTCAATATAAAAAACTGTCTTGTAATTATGTGGTTACTTTATATGACTTATTCATTAAAAAAACAACCCATAAAAAAGCACTAACTGATTAAGGCACCCAATTGTGTTCTTTCAAATAAGATTCAATTATTTAATTTCACAACTTTATAGTTTGCTTTGTTTAAGAAGCAATTTTAACTAGACCACTGGTGCTCAGAGCGGCCGGACTAGTGGCCTGGGTATTGGCTGGCAGGCTAGATAGGCAGTGCCCAATTCCTCCATGGCCATGTTTGGTCTGTGGCCCAAGGTTGAGCACCCCTGAACCAGATTAATAAATCAGTTACAATCTTTGATGGAAAGATTGTAATAAAAGCTCAATATTAAAAAGTTTAAACTCTGCTACTTTAAATTAACAGACAATATATATCAAGAATAATTATTATTAATTACCAAAGAGGACAGAGAATATTTGTTCTCTCATGCTACTAAAGGACACAAGGCAATGAGTTTACACTAGAGCATTGGTTTTCCAACTGGGGCACCTGGTGCTTTGCCATGGGTTACATATGCTTAAACTGTAATAACAGAGGTACGCATTGGTCAACTTGTGGTGAGTAATGGCATTGCCGTGCACTAATGTCAGCAAACATGAAGAGATGTATTGGATATAGGTTAGGGGTGGGCAAAATACGGCCCATGGGCTGGATCTGGCCTGTGAGGCCATTCTATCCGGCCTGTGGGGCCCCTAAAAAAATGTAGACAATTAAAATTTATCTGTCCTTGGTTCCTGTCAAAGATGACAGGAACCAAGGGCAGTAGGACCCAGGGGAAGCCCTTGAGAGCTCCCACAACAGCAGGGCCCACCTGGCTCCGTCCCCCCAGCTGGCAGCTCCAG